GTGAATGTCTTTGACATAACTTACGATCCACATGTTGCTAGATGTCATTCATGTTAAAGTTATTTTGTTGATTATGATTGATTATCACAATGCCATTGACTTATAATTCATTTAAATATTATGTTTTCCATAAAGATGATCATAACAAGATATTTGTTGCCACCTACATAAACTCATGGACAAATTCGTCCACAGACAAATTTATGGCGTTTATTCTTGTTGACTCAAAATGTTGGCTTGACAATGTGTCAATGGATGAGAAAAAAGATGAAACTCTCCAAAGTAGGCTACATTATGAGGATAGTCCAAGCGATTATCATCCGATATGGGACTAAAGCATCAATGAAGGCAATTCTAAGTTGACTCCAAAATTTATCATTGTAGACCCTATCTGAATCTGGCGCAGAGTAAAGAACCAAAATCTTTCATTTCAGGGCTAGCTAAATTTGACTTGTTTAGTAGCTTAGTCGATTATGACTTTAAAAGTTGTTGTCAAAATAAAGCAATTGTCAACTAATTGAAAATGAATGCTGCGATTACTAAACTTCTTAATAAACAAAATAAATAAATAAATAAATCTCTACCTAAATAGTTTGAAAGACAACAAAGATTCCCCATGCAAAATGAGCAAAGTCTATCATTTACAACTAGAGCTGTGAATGACCCATTTTCAAGCTGAGCCAAGATTCACTCAAAATCTACTCCAATAGATTTACCGCCACAATTATGTTTTAGAAAATATATTCTTACTATTTTCTATAAACTTTTGTAATAAAAAACTATTTTTTTCAGCATGAACTATTAAGTACAGTGGCTACCAAAATGTTGTGTCTAACTTTTTGAAATTAAAATAAATTTATAATAGCACTTATCTTTTTGAACAACAGCTTCTTTTGTAGCAGCTTCATAACTGTTTCTTTAAACCGGTACATTTGTTTCAAACAAACCCTTAGATGATGTGATGTACATTACATTGAAATTACCTTATATACTTTTTTAAGTAGTTGAACTTTGCAAATTAATTCATCCTATAAACCGTACATTTTGGTCATACATATCTATCAATTATTAAAATATATAAAAAATATATAAAAATATATTAAATAATGTACATACATGTTGAATATTAGTATCTCTTTGCCTATATATCTAGAATATTTGATCAAAAAAGAAAAAAAAAAGTGTAAGTTGATAGTTGCCTATGAGTTAGGTGCATGCATTCTAAGTGAAAGTATAAGAGATGAGCACTTATATAATTATTTATTTGTGTGTATAATATGCCTAAATAGATTTGAATAAAGAGAGATATATCGGACAAAGAAAAATTATAAATAGATGAAAGTACAAGTAGACACACACAAGCACACAGATAGATAGATAGATAGATAGATATATATATAT